GAGCTGTGGGGGTGCAGAGAGGCATGCTGGGGAGGCACCTGCCCCGGGGCCGGGAGTCAGGTCATTAGAGGTAGCTCTGCCCTCACAAGTCACTTTGCCTTGTGAGCCTCAGTTTCCTCACCTGCAAACCCAGCTGGGATAGTTCTGGAGACGAAAAGGGATGTTTGCCAAGCCTTCCACAGGGCACCATCCGGGGGCAGCACGAGACCCCTCTTGGTGGGGTGCAAGCCGAGGGCGCGGAGGTCGTGGCCCGGGCCTGGGCGCAGCTGCTCACTCACTGTCTGGGCTGCGTCGGATGCTGGGAAGGGCCTGGAGGAAGCTGGAACGTTAGGGGTTCCCGAGGGGGCCACCTTCTCTCAGGACCAGACCCTCGCCTAGGTCAGGGAGCCAGGGGTCATTACCAGTGGGGACACTTCAGGAGTCTTCCTGAAGGAGTGGAATGGGGCGATGCAGGCAGTCTTGCGGTTCGGGTGTTCTTTTCTTTTTATCGAGCCCTGGCTACTGTTGAGTGATGCATCCCACAGTCTCCAGCACACAGTAGGTGCTCAGTTGATGATGATGGGGTGAAGGAGCACGCCAAGGCCAGCACGGGCATTGGGGATGCAATGGTGGTGAATGTGGCGCAGAGAGATCCCGCCCCCACAAAGGCCGCAGTCCTGGGGGTGAGGCTGTTCAGACGGGGGTGAGGCTGTTCAGACGGGCGCCTCCGGGGAGATGAGAGGGCAGCGCCGCTCTGTGCCCCTCTCTCCACAGCGGACCGCGCGGGCGGCCAGCTCGGAGGAGACTGCCCGTGCGACACGGTCACCTGCAGGGTCTTCCAGCAGGGCTACTTCTACCTGTACCCCTTCAACATCGAGTACAGCCTCTTCGCCTCCACCATGCTCTACGTCATGTGGAAGAACGTGGGCAGGACGCTGGCCTCCTCCGCCCACAGCCACGGCCACGGCCACGGCCCGTCCCCGGCCAGCCCCTTCCGGGAGACGTTCTTCGCCGGCCCCATCCTGGGCCTGATGTTCCTTATTGCGGGGCTAGCCGTCTTCATCCTCTATGAGGTCCGCGTGAGCGGGGAGCGGGGCCGCACCCAGCAGGCCCTGGTCACCTACTACAGCTTCACCATCGGCTGTCTGGGGCTCATGACCTTGGCCAGCCTGAGTGGCTCCGTCATCTACCGTTTTGACCGCCGGGCCATGGACCACCATAAGAACCCAACACGCACCCTGGACGTGGCCCTGCTGATGGGCGCCGCCCTGGGCCAGTACGCCATCTCCTACTACTCCATCGTAGCGGTGGTCGTGGGCACGCCCAGGGGCATGCTGGGGGCACTCGACCTGGCCCACGCTCTGCTCACGATTGCGCAGCACTCCTTCCAGAATGCGTTCATCATCGAGAGCCTCCACCGGGGCCCGCCTGGGGCTGAGCCTCACGCCGCCCCTCCCAAGGAGCCCTGCCTCACCTTCGCCAACCTGGACGCCCTCCACTCCTTGCCCGCCTGCCCACCCACCCCCAGGCTGGTGGGCTCCAGCCCCGAGGACCCTCAGGGAGCCACGGCCATCGTCTTGGCCCCCGGGAGCCACTGGAGACGCCGGTGCCTGAAGGACATTTCTCTGTTTCTCCTGCTCTGCAACATCATTGTGAGTGCCCGGGGGAGAGGCGTGGGCTGGGCGAGGGGAGGCCGGGAAGGAGGTTCCTTCAGGTTCATTCACTTGCCCTTCCCTGTGTTGCCCTGGCAGTTAGAAGGAGGGTAGGTTCAGAGAGGGTTGGGTGTGGCCCCCAGGCAAACAGCATCTCAGGGCACGCAGAGAGTGAAGTCCTAGCATCGTGGCATCCACGCAGCAGCCGGGGCTGGAGGGGCCCCAGGGGATGCTGGCATGGGGGCTGGGCCGAGGTGAGAGGGGGCTGCGGGGGCCCTCCCCCACCCCACGTGGGAGGTGTGACCGCTCCTGCGAACCTGTGACCAGCCCGCTGCCCCGAGGAACTGGAGCAGCAGCCGGAAGAAGCAGAAACCAGCGTAAGTGTGAGCAGCCTGTTAGCAGCGTGCAGCATTGGGCAAGCCAGGAAGAGGGGGCGCCCGCCGCAGCCACCCCCTCCCCAGGGATTCAGCAAAGCGCCTGACTCCCGCAGACATGACTACGGCCACGTACGCAAACACTCTTCACTGAGAAGCACCACCAAGTCAGGGGACACTCCTCACATGGCTCCCACCCGCCTGTGTCCACGGGACCCCCGGGGGCACTCCCTGATGCTGCAGCCTGTGCCCACGGGCACATCCACACCCTCCTCTAGAGAAACTTCCCTCAATATGAAAATAGCCCTTTTAGCGAGCTATAGCCAACAGGAAAAAAAAAATTATAGGGTCCGGCACAAATAACACCCCTGTTTTATTACACCATCACAAGCATGGAATACGGCATCATAACGATGTCACACTCAAGCACACCCTGGGACACTTTAGGTGAAAATGTTCAGATCGAAACGATAAAGTAGTACGCCCCTATCACTCCGCTCCCAGCCACACTCCAGCAGGTGCTCCTTCTGTCGGACCCTGCACTCGAAGTACAGAAACAGTCTTAAGGCGGGAATGTCCGTGGGGAACACCTCCAGGGGGAATTCCGCCCCAGTGTCGTCCACATGAAATGCACCAGCAGCCCACCATTCTTCGTGGCATTCCTGTTGCAAATATTCCCCGTCCTACAGTAACTCCTCCCCCCCACCACCTCCGCCAGAAAAGAGTGACCAGCAATCTCGGACCTACCGGTGGAACCAGTGAGGCTCCAAACATCATATCCTGAGGCAGCTTCAGTGCCGCCCAGCCCACAGGCTGAGGGGAGTCACCTTCGGGGGCTGTTGTGGCTCCAGGTGTCTGAGCCTGGATGCACTGCGAGAGCATGGGCTCCACCTCCTTCCCTTCCCGGGGCAGAAAAGGCTGGCAGAGGGGCGTGCCCAGGGACGCGGTTAACTGGGGAGGGAAGTGTGCGGCTGGCCCAGACGCCTTTGTTCTTTGCCCCGTACCCTGCACCAGCCACCTTCTGGCGGGGATCCCACCCCCGCCCCTGCCTTGGGCCCGTCTGATTCCAGGGGAGAGCTCCTGATTTAGCTGTTCTAAACTGCGGTCCAACTCTCACGTCGTCTATTGAAGCCTCTTCCCTCTCTCTCCACCGTACCAGCGGGGCACCCCATTCAGGGTGGAAATGGGATTGCAGGGTGGCCCTTGGCCTGGGGAGGGCAAGTTGAAGGGAGGTCCTCACGCAACAACAGCCAGGCCTTGCTGTCCACCAAACTAGAGGGCCGGGACCCCGTGCAGAGCCCACTAGTGTGACGCCGTCCGGGCCAGGCCCTGACACCCTGTCTGTCCCACAGCTGTGGATCATGCCCGCCTTCGGGGCCCGCCCTCACTTCAGCAACCAGGTGGAGGCGGGCTTCTACGGCGACTCCCTCTGGACGGCCATCGTCAACATCTGCCTGCCGTTCGGCATCTTCTACCGCATGCACGCCGTCTCCAGCCTGCTGGAGGTCTACGTGCTGTCCTGAAGCCCCCCGGCAGCGCCACGGGGCGGGGGGCGCTCGGCTCCCGTACCCACCCCAAGGGCCTCGGAAGGGAGCCCCTGGCTGGCAGTCACGGCCACACTGGCCCCTGTTCCCCGATGGCCCCAGCGCAGAATTTTCACACACATTCTCTTCCTGGGTGTGTTCCAGTCGCAGCCAGGGCATGCCCACGTACCCCAGCGTGACCCTGGCGCGTGGGGCGACAGGGCAGGGCGATACCCCCCTCCCCCTGCCTGAAGCATGTCCAGGACTGGGTAAGACCTGGGATTGTCCTGAGCCCAGCCCTGTGGCCTGGCCGGTGCTGCTGCCTGGCGTGGGAACCGGGAAACCCACAGTGTGCCAATCCCCGCCCCCCGTCTCCCCATAACCCGCCCCATCTCAGCAACCCCATAGGGGAAGGTCACAGGAGAGGATCTTGGGAGTCTGAGCTGGAAGGGCCCGTGGAGACTTGCAGGTTGCAGGCTTTTCAGTGGGAGGGCCAAGGCCGAGTGGCAAACCAGGTACAGACTCAGGCCTGGGCGGCCAGGAGGGGCCGGGCAGAGTGGCAAGGCCGCCACCTTCCTCTTCCCTCTGTCCCCCAAGCGGCACCTGTTGCTTCTGTGTTCCATGACACAGGAAAGCGTAGGAAGTGCTGACCCGTTGCGACCACCGGGATACAAAGAAGCAGTCCGAGGCCCAGAGAGGTCGCGTGACTTGCCCAAGTCACACAGCGGAAGAGGTCCAGAGTCCTTTCTACTAAGGACTGTGATTTTTCAAACAGCAGAACTTTTTTCCCCTGATTAGTAAAATATTTCAGAAACCCAAATGTATAACACAGACATAAGCCAGGCTGTGCTAGTTTCAGAGAAGTTGGGGATGCCGACCTCCACTCCCTGGGCCGCCTCTTCCCTGACACCCCCACTCCCTGGGGGGCCTGAGGCTCCTCTGGGCAAGGCAGAGCGCTGGACTCAGCGGGAGAGAGACTGAAATCGTGAGATGGACGGAACAGAGAGGAGGAAAGAGTCCCAGCAGCTAGAAGCGGAGGCAGAATCGGTGGCCAGCTGGGGCAGGGGAGCGGGGCGACCAGCTGCGGTGGGGCCTGGGCTGGGGCTGGGTGGGAGGAGTGTGGGAGCCGCAGGGCTGACTCTCGGGGCCTCAGAGGGAAACGCGCCCGGACCTTGCCCCGGCGGGGGCGCCCTGGTGCTGAGGAGGGCTCCGTTCCCTGCTTGGAAGCCAGAGGAAAGTGCGGCCTGAACCCCAGCAAGTCCAATACCGCGGCCTGAGGACACTGCACCCCTCCCCTCCCGGAGGTCGCCGCTGTCCTCGGGTTTGCAGACTCGGAGCCCGGCGCCCGCACCGCCTCCGGCCCCGCCCGTCTGTCCAGCCGCCTCCCTGTTGGCTGCGCCGTCCGGGCCGGAGCCCCCGGCGGGGTAATTAACGGAGGATTAATGATATCCCCAAAGTCAACAGAAAAATCGATGGGCCGCCGAGCCCGGGCGGCGGCTGCGCAGTCCCGCTGGGGGAGGGCGTCGGGGGCATCGGTCGGGGCGCTGCGGCCTCGCCCGGGCGGACGGTCGGCGCTGCGCCCGCAGGCGGTCGTCAGCCGGCGGCGGTGCCTGCCGAGGCCTCAGGTAAGGCGCCCCTTAGGGCCGCGCGGGAGCGCCCTGGGACGTGGGGCGGGACCTCCGAGGCAAGCCCACCTGGAGGCGCGCATCTGCTCCCCGCAATCCCCGGGGCTCAGGGACTGGGCGCTGCAGGGACGGAGGCGGGAGGGCTACGGGGAACCAGCCACTGGCGGCCCGAGCGCCGGCCCCGAACCCCGGCTCCGCGCCGCACCGCCTTCCCGCGGGTGGGCGCGCTCGGCCGAAAGGGGGCGCGGAGGCCAGAGAGGAGAAAAAAACCCGGACGGCCAGAAAGGGGGTTGTGGGGCCGGGGCTGCCGGGGCGCCAGATCGGAGGCATTCGTGTAGCGGCCGCCCCAGTCTCGCAGCGCCCCCCAACGGCTCGGAGAGAAACCCCGGAGCTCCTGGCCCGCGCTCAGTGGCGTCTTCCGGAGCCGGCGCTGCGCGCCCTGCCGGGCGGGCGCCGCGCCCCGACGGCTGCACGGCTTTCGTCGCCTGCCTCTAGCCCGGACCCACGACCAGTGGCGCGGGCCCTCCCGTAGACTGGCGTCGCGCTGGATGGCCGCAGGCCGCTCCCTGTCAGTCCCGGTACCCTTGCCCCCTTCCTGCGACCCTGGTGTGTGGGCTAGTCAACCCCCCACACACACACACACACGGACTCCGCCACACCGAGGGCGGCCATGGGAGGGTCGAACCCCGCGAGTGGGGGTCAGAGGCCGCGTGTGGAGGACCCTGGAGGGAGGGAAACCAGTACCTTGTCCTCCGGCGGCTCCTCTGGGCCTACCAGTCCTAGCACAAACCGCCCCAAAGTTCACCGATAATAACCCCGACCCTTCCAGCCTCCCCAGGATTTTGAAAGATCTGGAAGGAAATGTTCAAATCGCTAACATGGAGAGGTTTCTGAGTATCAGACACGGATGTAGTACGTTTATTTGCATAAATGAAATCATTTAATTTTGATAGAACCCTGCGACGTAAGTATCGTGCATTAATTCCTTCATGTACTCCTTCAAGAAATCGTCGCTGCACGGCTCCGGCACGCCAGGCACTGTTTCATAGTCGTTTTATCTCTGCTTCACGGACGGGAAGGCCGAGCGCAGTCTGCCTGCGTCGCGGGTCGGCGCTCGCGCCGGTAGGAGGTGTCGGAATCTGGGCTCTCCGGCAGGGGGCGATCGGGCCTCGGGGGGTCGGGGGGAGGTTCTGAGAACGGCCAGACGGAGCAGTCGGGGCTGGGAGAAAAGGCGCAGGGAGCTGTCCCCGGGAGCCTCGGGCCTGCCCCAGCTGGGCAGGGGAGGCCAGCGGGAAAGGCACACGTGGTCTGGGAAGTGTCCGCGGAGGTTTCGCGGGAAGGGTCTCTGTCCGCGGCTCTGGTGCTGAAGCTCCCCAGAAAATGCGCGAGTAGCCGGCAAACACTGGGTGAGCGTGGTGCTGTGCCAGGTTTGGGGGTGGGGGGGCGGGGAGCATCGAGTTCAGCAGGACCTGAACTGGTCTCTGCCTCGGAGGAGCTCCGGGCCCTGGGGGGAGCCAGCCGCGCCCACAGCGCCTCGCCAGGCGGTGCACGCCCGCTCTCAATGGATGCCTGGCGGAGCGAGAAGGCTTCCCGGGCCAGGCCCCTCGGGCGGTTGGTGAGGACGGGTGAGAGCCGCGGCGGAGGGGAGCAGGGGGGCGGGGAGCACAGCGGACTCCAGCAGTGAGGGCGGGAGGCAGCAGGCCACTGAGCAATGCGGGCGGGGCCCCCTGGCTGGGCCGGGATGGATGAGGGGGCGGGCGCTTCAGTGTGACGAGGGGGCTGGGCAGGGAGAGGGCAGAAGAGCCGTGAGAATCACAGGGAAGACTAGGAAAGGGGGACAAAATCGTGCAGAACCTTTGAAAGAGGGCCGAGTTTGACTATTCTATTTGCCCAGAAGAGAAAAGTATAACTATCCAAGCCAGTGCCACATGGTAGAACGGGGGGGGGGCTTTTAGAGCCACATGAAATGGGGGTCTCCTGGGGGTCTCCTGGTGGTCACGGTGTGGGAAAGTCTGAAGCTTCTGAAGCTTGAAGTTCAAAGGCAGGGACAGAGCCAAGCGCAGCTAATTAAAATAGAGTGTGAGAGGTGATGCCCCAGGAACAAGCATGGGGTTCGGTGGGGGCACCAAGAGTGGGCACCTCACCCAGTTTCAGCACGGGGGGTGCAGGAGAGGCCGCTTACAGGGGGCGGGGCTCTTCTGGGTCCTGAAGGATGAGCTGCTGTCAGCGGGGCATTGTGGGCGAAGGGCGGAGTGTGGGCAGACGGGAGGTGAGCAAAGGCAGGGGCATTCTGGGAACTGCAGCAGGATGGCCGGACCCGTAGGCCACAGTGCTGGAGCGCCAGTGGGGACCCGACCAGGAAGCGACAGCAGCTCCCCGGCCTCCAGCGTTCCATGTGCCGCGAGCCCATATGGCACAAGGACACGGCCTTGTTTCACTTTGAGAGGGCGCGCTAAGCAGTTTGGACTTTACACTGAGGGCAATTAGTTGCCTTGCAAGGCTCCCAATAGGAAAGAGGCACAGTGGGCAGGGAGACCAGGCCAGGAGCCCTGGCCGGGTAGCTCAGGTGGTTAGAACGTAGTCCCGATACGCCGAGGTTGTGGGTTCGATCTCCAGTCAGGGCACATGCAGGAAGGAACCGATGAGTGCACTAGTGGGTGGGGCAACGAGAGAGAGAGAGATGGGTCCAGGAGCGAGAGGAGAGGGCCCTGGCTAGGGTAGTGGATGAGGTCAAGAAAGGTTGAAGAGCAATTTGTGGGCTGGGATGGACAGGCCTGGGGCCTGGGAGGAGGGCCAGCGAGGGGAGGGCGAGGAGCAGGCCTCCTGCAGCCCGGAGAATGGGTGCAGTGAGCACTGCGAACCCTGAGCCCAGAGCACCAGGGAAGCCAGGGTTGCTGCAGGACCAAGGGAGGGCCCCTGGTAGGGGGGGCACAGGGGCTGGTGAGGGAGCCTCCAGGGTCCGCTCAGGAGAAGCCTTCCCATCAGTCAGGATAGCGCCTGGCACCAGCAGCACCCCCCTTTCTAGCGCAGCTCAGCCCCACAGGGAATGAGCACCCAAAGGTCCACAGAGGAGAAAGCTGGACTGCAGGCCATGGCCCTGAGCGGCAGATACGGGGAGACCTAGACCCGGGTCCGACAGATGGGTGACACGGGGGTTGGCCTGAGGGAAAGCCTGGGGGCGCTAAGGAAGGAAGGAGCAGGAGACATTCGGGAGAAGAGCAGGGTGGAGGGTGGCGCTCTCCGCGTCGTGGAGTTAGGGGCGGGTGCAGGGGGCTCAGTCCTGTCAGAGTCAAGGGCAGGGCATTCATGCTGACCCCAACCTGCCCCACGCCCGTGGCAGACATGGCAGATCAAACCCCAGAAGTTTGCCCCTAAACCTTTAAAATCAATTTTTTAAAGGTTAGCTTTCTTTTCAAGATTTTATTTATTTATTTTTAGAGAGGGAAGGGAGGGAGAAAGAGAGAAAAAGAAACATCAATGTGCGGTTGCTGGGGGCCGTGGCCTGCAACCCAGGCATGTGCCCTGACTGGGAATTGAACCTGTGATGCTTTGGTTCGCAGCCCGAGCTCAATCCACTGGCGAGCTACGCCAGCCAGGGCTAAAATCGATTTTTTAAATTACACAAGTAATGTGTTCTTAAAAAATAGAACAAGCAACCGCTGTCACTCAGCCCTTCCCCAGAAGAAACTTCAGTTGTGGACCTGGTGGGAATCTTCTAGACCTTTCCAGAGCAACTTCATCTACACTCAGAGGGGTCCGTAACAGAGCATCACCTCTGATCTCAGCGTCCTTTCCCTCCGAGCCCGCCCGCAGCCACAGGGCCCCTGCCAACGCCACACTTGAGGCAGCCATTACCTCCCAGGCAGAGTCAGGACAAGAGGGGGCCCCTGCCTGCTCTTTTCCTCCGGCGTGAAATTCCTCCCAGAAGTCAGCAGGGCACATGCTGCCCTTTGGTGCTGAGAAGTCACAGACATGGGGGCTGCCCAGGGGCCAGGCACGAAGCAGATGCCCCCCACTCCCCTGACAGACGTTGTTTTTCCATCTTAGGGTCAGACACTGAGTCAGGCCGGCAGTGGGGCGGGGAGGCAGGAGGTGGTCCTCCAGCCCGTGGAAACGTCCTGTGTGAACGTGGAGCCCGAAAGCGTTCCTGTAACCCCCGGTCTGTGTGGACCTCCCAGGGTCCCGGAAGGTAGACGGGTGGCTGCCCAGAGAGGTTGTATGATCCGCCCCGGGTCACACAGCAGGTAGGGACAGGGATGGAACGGAAGCCAGCACAGCCTGGCAGCCAACCAGCGCCCTCTCTCCCTCCCAGCACCTGCCGAGGCTGCACCAGTGGCCTCTGCAGAAACACAGGAGACTGGAGCAGCCCCGGCCCAGGAGAACCCGGTGGACATGGGGGCCGAGGAGACAGGGGCCCCTGCCCCAGCGAGCCAGAGGTCCTGGCTGGTGCGGCAGGTCTCACTGTTACTGCGGCGGGACCGGCAGGCCCAGAAGGCCGGGCAGCTCTTCTCCGGGCTCCTGGCCCTCAACGTGGTGTTCCTGGGCGGGGCCTTCATCTGCAGCTCCATCTCCAACAGCGTGGCCCTCACGCTGGGCGACGTGTGGGTCCTGCTGGCCGTGCTGAAGGCCCTCTCCCTCCTCTGGCTCCTCTACTACGCGGCAGGCACCACCCGCCGGCCGCACGCCGTGCTCTACCGGGACCCTCACGCGGGGTCCATCTGGGTGCGGGGTGAGTATTGGGGCGCTGGGTGAGTATGGGAGGATGTGGGGAGGCCGGAGATGCCCACGGCTGCCCCGTCCCCCTAGGGTCCCTGCTGCTCTTCGGCAGCTGCGCCGGCTGCCTCAGCGTCTTCCACGTGGGCTACGAGGTGAGCCACCTGTACTGCAAGCCGTGGCTGGAGCTCATCTTCCCCGCCATCGAGATCGTCTTCATCGGCATCCAGGTGACAGGCCCTCCCGCCCCCGGGCCACCAGCCAGCACTCTCCCTACCCCCCAACTTCTGCCTGGACACTGCCTCACAGGCAAATACCTGCAAGGCCCAGAGTAGGGGCGCACACACCACAGCCCCCCACGGGTGCCTGCCTGAGCACACACCGTGCCCATGAAACGTGGCCGCCTGTGGACACGCCCGCCTGTGCCTGCTTGCAAGTCCCTAACTCACAAAGCCACTCCTCATGACGAACGTCCAGCTCCCGCCTGACTTCCTGTTCTGCACCAGGCACCGTGTTTCCTTTACACCCTTATTTTATTTCCCCAGGGAGTAGACCTTTCCCTGAGCGGCAGGCATTTGAGTCCCCTTCTAGAACCGAGGAGGCTGAGGCTCAGAGACCTCTTGCCACTGGCCCAAAGCCACACAGCAAGGAAACGGCAGGGCCAGGATTTCCCAGCCCAGGTTTCCTCGCTGTGGCGTCGGTGGAAAATACGCCCAAGCAGCGGAGGCACACACACCCCCATAGCCCCGCCCCCACATCCTGGGCCCTGGGCTCAAGGCCCTGTCTCTTTCAGACCTGGGTGCTCTGGAAACACTGCAAGGACTGTGTTCAGGCCCAGGGCAACTTCACTAGGTAAGGTGGGGTGCTTTCTCTCCCTCCAACAGCTCCTGGGGCTCCCTGTCCCCAGCTAGTGCCTGCTCCCCATGGCTTCCCTGGACAGGGTGGCCCTGGGGCTGTGGGTTTGCCTGGGAATTGTCCCTGGTGCCTCCCCACTAGGGCTGCCTCTCCATATGTCCTAACGCCAGATGGGATTTGGCTTGGAGAGAGGGCGGCCCCTGCAAATGCAGGGACGGTGAGGGCTGGGCACCCGAGGAGCTGGCCTGGCTGTGTGGGCAGAGTGCGGCCTCTCTGGCAGGTGTGGCCTGATGCTGACCCTGGCCACAAACCTGCTGATGTGGGTCTTGGCGGTCACCAACGACTCCATGCACCGCAAGATCGAGGCGGAGCTCAATGGCCTCATGGACAACTTATCAGGTACCAAGGAGACCGGGCCCCCCATCCCTGGGCGTGCTGAGAGAGCTGTGCAAAGAGAATTTTATTTTACAAGTAACACCATAGATTGTTATATAATTAAAAATTCAGGCTTATCCCTGGCTGGTGTGGCTCAGTGGATTGAGCACCGGCCTGTGAACCAAAGGGTCCCTGGTTCCATTCCCAGTCAGGGCACGTGCCTGGGTTGTGGGCCAGGTCCCCAGAGGGGGGCATATGAGAGGCAACTGATGTATTTCTCACATATCAATGTTTCGCTCCCTCTCTTTCTCCCTCTTTAAAAAAAGATTTTATTTATTTATTTTTAGAGAGGGAAGGGAGGGAGATAGAAAGAGAGAAAGAAACATCAATGTGCAGTTGCTGGGGGTCATGGCCTGCAACCCAGGCATGTACCCTGACTGGGAATCAAACCTGGGACACTTTGGTTCGCAGCCCGCACTCAATCCACTGAGCCATACCAGCCAGGGCAAATAAATAAATAAAATATTTTTTAAAATTCACACTTAGAGATGAGAACAACAAGATATATCCATCACCCAGGTGCAAGAATGATGAACATTTCACCATATTTATTTTATGAATGAATTGTTTACATTACTGAGATCGTGGCATTTCATCTCAAGATAATTTGGTGTGCATCTCTTTGAAATAAATATATTTCACTACAGCACAACATTATTATAACTTCTAACAAAGCTCCCTAACATTATCCCCATCCTCTCTATCAATCTATATTAGTATTTATTTATTTACTTATTTATTTATATTTAGAGAGGGAAGGGAGGGACACAGAGACAGAGAGAGAGAAAGAGAGAGAGAGAGAGAGAAACGTCAATGTGTGGTTGCTGGGGGCTGTGGCCTGCAACCCAGGCATGTGCCCTGACTGGGAATCGAACCTGCGATGCTTTGGTTCACAGCCCGAGCTCAATCCACTGAGCTATGCCAGCCAGGGCTCACATTAGTTTTTCGAATCAGCCTACAAAAAGTCTTTTACGATGGTTTGTTCAAACAGGTGATGCCTTGGGTGGTTCATTCTCTTTTTTCCTAATGGCGCTGAGATGTGTCAAGTTGCTTCCTAGTGGTGGCATTTGACTTGTTCTCCCTGCTTTTCCTAGAAGCTGGAGGTAGGGCCCAGAACCTTGATTAGATTCAGACTAAACGCGGTGGGCCCCAGCACCCCACAGGTGGGCCCGGGTGCCGTGTGGGGCGCCTCACTGCGGGGCATGATGCCCGGTCACCCCACAGAGCGTGCTGCCTGGGTGGCAGCCAGATCCTTCTATCACAACACTACAGGTTTCCCCTTGTGCCCCGCCACCGCCAGCGATCTGCACAGGTGACATTTGGCACCGAAGACATCACACATTAAATGCTTTACATCAGCTTGATGCCTGAAGTCCAGAATCCCTTTGTAAAGGAAGGATCGCCCTGTGATGTCTGATTTCTCACTCTGGGCCTCAGTCTCCAGGCCTGTGAAATGGGCGGCTGGGTCCCCGCCCCCTCCGGCATACTCCAGGAAGTGGGCAGGACTGGTCTGTCATTGCCTGGGTTCCCTCAGAGCAAGGCCCACCTGACTGTCTGTCCGCCTCTCCCACCCCCCGCTAGGCAATGACAGCAACACCTGCCTGTGCCTCAACAGCACGGCGTGCCAGGTCTTCCAGAAGGGCTACCTGATGCTCTACCCCTTCAACACCGAGTACTGCCTCATCTGCTGCGCTGTGCTGTTTGTCATGTGGAAGAACGTGGGCCGCCGCCTGGCACCCCACGCGAGCGCCCGCCCCGGCACCCCGCCCTTCCACCTGCGGGGAGCCCTCTCGGGGCTGCTGCTGGGCCTGCTGGCCCTGGTGGCAGGCGTGGTTGTGTTCATGATCTTCCAGGTTGAAGCCAACGGCCCCGCCATCGCTCGCCAATATTTCATCCTCTACTACGCCTTCTACGTAGCCCTGCTATCCGCCATGAGCCTGGCGTGCCTGGCGGGCACGGCCATCCACGGGCTGGAGGAGCGAGAGCTGGACACGGTCAAGAACCCCACCCGCAGCCTGGACGTGGTGCTGCTCATGGGGGCGGCGCTGGGCCAGATGGGCATCGCCTACTTCTCCATCGTGGCCATCGTGGCCACGCGCCCCCACGAGCTGCTCAACCGCCTGGTCCTGGCCTACTCGCTGCTGCTCATCCTGCAGCACATGGCCCAGAACCTCTTCATCATCGAGGGCCTGCACCGGCGCCCGCTGTGGGAGGCCGCTGCGGAGGCGGAGACACCCCGCGGGGGGCGGAGCCACTCCCGGCCAGAGCTGGGCCCTGGGCTGCCGCCGGCCTCGCCCCGGGCCTCTGTCCACTCCAACGGCCACCTCAACTGGAGGCGGCGGGCGCTCAGGGAGCTCTCCCTCTTCCTCATCCTCTGCAACATCACGGTGAGCGATGCCCGAGGCACGGGGCGGAGCTGGCCCGGCAGCCCTCAGAAATCTCACTCGGGGAAGGGGCGGTTAGATTCATTCATTCAAGGTGCGTTCATTGCACCTTGGCTGTCCCAAGGGTGACTGGCTTGTCCTTTTGATTGTCAAGGACACACGCCTTGTTACCACTAGCTCTGTGACGCTTGCGAGCAGAGAGAGTCCCCCAGCTCCCCGCAGGGTCTCTAGCGTGAATAAACAGGCCAAGCCCATGGCCACGTGCACTTGATCAACACACCTGTAAGATTTTGAAGCTTCCTGTCTCGTGGGGGAGCCATCAGGGGAACAGTTAGGAAATTACGAAATAACTAGTCACCCACTGAATGCAGTCTAAGGATGAGATCGGAAAGTGCCTGGTTTTCTAAAGACCTTCTAGCGGAAGGTGTAGGCGGTGATCGCTCCGCCCCAGGCGCTCCGCTCAGAGCAGTGGCCCCGCCTCCGGGGAAGCCTCGTAGTAACTCCGCGCAGGGGTCCCTAGGGCCATCCCCGGTTCACGATGAGGAAGCTCAGGCCTAGGCTGCCGGGCCTGCCTCGGTCTCACCGCCTAGGCGGCAGAGCCGGGACAACGCAGGGTGGTTTGAGCTCGTGTTGGTGACGACAGCGCTGGGAATGCGCCCCGGAAGTCGAAACCCCTGGGCCAGGCAGGGAATAAGCAACAAACGGGCCCTAAAGGGCAGCAGGGCCTCAGAGAAGGAAGCGTGGGCCGGAGTGGCCAAGGAGGCTTTGTAGGAGTTTGGCCTGGGCTTTGAGAAACCGGTAGGACTGGGACAGGAGGCGGGGCCCAGGAGGAGGGGGCGGGACTGGCAGGAGAAGGAAGCTCCAGAAGAGGAAGGTGGAGGTGGAGACACAGGGGTGCCCAGCGGTACAGAGCAGGTTGTACCATGCGTGGTGGCGACCTGGGGTCTCACAGTCCATCCGGGGTTCAGGCTGGCAAGCCGAGGAGGGGGCTGTGGTGGGGGAGAGGGGCTGGCTCTGAAGGCCGGAGGGTGTGGGGTGCACTGGAGGAGCTGTAGCTTCTGGCACTTTCCCTGAGCGGAGTGCCTGGGAGCACCGCTCCCCCCTCACCACCCTCCTCTGCTCCCCAGCTGTGGATGATGCCCGCGTTTGGCATACACCCCGAGTCTGAGAACGGCCTGGAGAAGGAGTTCTACGGCTACCGGACGTGGTTCACCATCGTCAACTTCGGCCTGCCCCTGGGGGTCTTCTACCGCATGCACTCTGTCGGGGGGCTCGTGGAGGTTTACTTGGGGGCCTGACGCTGCCCAAGGACCTCACCCCTGGCAGAACCCCAACGTGTCAAGGCTGGGAAAATGTAGTCCAGGGGCCCTGAGCAGATGCCCCGTCCCAGGAGGCCTTAGGGAAGCCTGGGTATCCCAAAGCCTCCCCTTCCCCAGAGCCTCACTACAGGGGCAGAGAGCGGGTCACTGTTCACAGCCCAAGGCCAAGGGCAGAACCTGAATACGGAGCCTCTGATGCCCACACCGAGGACAGCGCCCGCTTGCCCCTGCTCACTGCATCAGTGCAGCCCAGGGTGTGCCCAGGAAGCCCACACAGCGGCTCCAGGAGGAGCAGCCGAAATGACTGAGTCTGGGGTGTATGGAGAGGGGTCCCTACCCAGCCAGGCCTCTGGGGCTTGCCTCCTGCTGGGGGTAGGGTGCAGGGTCCAAGCTCAGCCCCAGGCATCCCGGAAGCAGGCAGCTCTGCCCTCCTCTCCCCACACAACCTAATAAGCTCATTAATTAGCTACCAGGCAGGGTTCAACAGCTCTCTCCCGCTGCCATAAACCCTGTTTGTTTGATTGATTACATTCGGGCTTCGTGGCATTTGTTCCCAGAGTCACAGCTGCCACTCCGGGTACAGTGGGAAGGGACTGTCCTTCAGGGCAGGGCTGTGGGGTAGGGACAGTCCTGTCTCTGGGCCAGGAGAGATCTAGACCAGTTCTTGCCTGGCCCATGGGAGAGGTGGAGAGAGGGGCCGAGGCTCTTGAATCTCCCCACCCCCCATCAGCACACCCTGCCTCTCTGGCACACGGAGCCCCAGGTGACTCTCTGGAGCTGGCTCACCACGGGGGCTGATGCTCTAGGCTGCTGGGTCCCCAGGTCTGCGGGACCCTCTGGTCACTGAGCAGGAAGGGCAGCTGTGACAGCCCACCCATCTCCCTGAGCCTGAGGCAAACACTGGGCTGAGCCTGGGGTGAGGCCTGGGAGGGGGGGGGGCAGCCCCAGGCCTGCAGCAGGCTCTGCACGCCTCTGGGCACCGCCCCATGAAGCTGAGCCCTGGTGAGCACAGGGCCAAAGCCCCAGGAGCCCCCAGTGGCTGCCTGTGGCCAGCAGCTGCCCTGGGACTCATGCAGAAAGCTGGGGGGTGGGCTCTTTTTCTGGGTGGCCACAGCCCAGGAGTCCAACTCTCCAGTGCCCCCCCCCCCAAGAGAATGACAAACACAGGTTTCCAATCAGGTGCTAAGACCCTCTGGGGGCCGACTGTAGGAGGCAGCACCCCCGCCCCGACTCCCCTGAGGACAAGAGTCCCCTAGCCTGGCCTGACCCTCCCCTGCAAGCACGAAGCACCAGGGCGTAGAGAGGGGTTTATTGTGTGAAGAGGCCGATTGTACAGAGCAAAGATCGTACTGACAGGTGGGTGGGGGGGGCCAGAGGCCAGGCCTGGGAGGACAGAGGGGAGGCAGAGGGGTGGCAGCCTGCCCCCCACCAGTCCTCCAGGCAGTGGGTGGGGGTGGGGAGGACTGGACAGCTGCCCCTCCCTCCTCGTTCTTCTCGTCCCCGTAACTGGACATAAGAAGAAGCCAGGCCACAGCCCCTGACCTGGAGAACATAGCAGGACACCCCACTCCAAACCCCTAAAATGCATGGGGTTCCCCAGTCTGGCTTTTGCAGTCGGCCAGCCCCCACCCACCTCCTCAAGCAGCCGGGCCAGGTGCCTTCCTCCCCCGGCCCCGGCAGTGAGCCGGCCTGGGCCCAGCGGTTTCCAGCTGGGAGACTCGGATGGGCTCCCCTCACCTTGCCCGGGTGCATCATGGGACAGCCCACAGCTCCCTCCTGGGCAACCCCTTATGGCACAGTAACCGGATGGCCTCTGGGGGTGAGCAGGACAGGGGCCAGGTGGGCACCCAAGGTCAGCATAGAAACAGGGCTTGAGGGGGAGCAGAGTGAGGTGGGGGCCCTGGCCGGGGCCTGCAGCCCTGGAGCCAGGAGGTGGGGGGAGTTCAGGGAAGGTCAGGGCCAGCATTCCAGCCCCAAGGGGCCTCTGGGGCCTGCCACCCAGGACTCGGCCACTCTGCCAGCCCCCAGCCCTGATCATAGTAAGTTAAAGCTCAGCACGGCCAGTGGGTCGGTGGCGGGGAGGATGCAGGGCCAGGGCTCCGCCCTCCCCTGGCCCCGCCCCTTGCAGGCCACCGGCTCCGCCCTCCCCTGGCCCCGCCCCTTGCAGGCCGCGGTCCTCACACGCGCTGGATCTCAAACAGCTTCACATCCGTGTCGTACCAGACGGGCGGGTCCACGTTCCTGCGGAGGGAGCACGCTGTCCTCGGGTGCTGGGGGGCCTCGCAGGAAAGACCGTGGGGGTGCAGGCAGTGCCAGAGCCCAGACCCTCCCTTCCTGATGTCCCACCTCGGTGTCCCGCCCTCAACCAGACAGGACTCCCCCCTGGTTAACTATCTTGGCATGAGCCCCACTACGAAGGTGGGACCCAGGGCTGAGGCCCCCAGTGAGCCCCGCTGGGCAGACCCTCCGGTGGACACCCAACCTCTCCCGGCTGGTCACTGCCCCACCCCCACAGGGCCCACCTCAGATAGATGACGCCCCACATGTAGGTGCGGAACCACATGGCCGTGCCCGAGTTGGCCTGGTACTTCCGGATGAGGATGGGGTGGGGCACGGGCAGCAGCCCCACCAGGGTGCCGTGCTGCAGGAACCTCAGGATCTCCGACTCGTCCGTCAGGCCCCTGCGGGCGATGCGGGGGGTGGCGGGGTGGTCTCCCACGTGCTCACGTGGGAAGCCACCATGAAGGTCCCGGGGAGCATGGGCTCACCGTGGACCCCCCCATGCCCGTGCTCCCAGTCACGCCACCCCCAAGCCCGGACTGGCCCCTTCCTCAGAGCCCTCCTAGCCCCCCTCCCCCGCCCCTCAGCCTCACTTGTCAATGCAGATCTTCTCCACCTGCGGCACCAGCACCTGCAGCAGCCTCATGATGGTCTGCAGCGGCAGCTTCGACTTCCAGGAGAGGACCTGGGGGAGGGACCGCGGCTCCTGGGCCTGGGGAAGCAGCCCCCCAAGGCTGCAGGACAGGCCTGCCCCCTGACCCCAAACTTCAACCTCCCCGAGGCAAAACGCGTCCCCCAATCACCACGACAGGGACCTGTGGGGGCAGCACCCATGAAAAGCGACTGTTTTTCATGGTAAGAGCCATGGCCTCGCACTGAGCACAGACACGGCCCCCTTGGGTCCTCAGCATGATCAGGTCGGGACGTTTACTGTCCCCGTGCAAGTGCCATGAGGGGGGGACCTCAGCAAGCATGAAAGACTGGGTCAGCGACCTGGGCAAGGAGGCTGGGGAGGGTGCTTTATGGAGAAACTTGGTGCTGTGGGCAGGTGAAGCTCAGCCCGGCTACCCAGAGGAGGTAGCTGAGTTGGAGGGAGGCCAAGGTCCCCCAGCCAGAGCACCAACCCTGAGTCTGGCTCCCGGGCCAGTCCCTGGATTTGGACATACTGCCAGAGGCTGCACTTACTGGGCGGTTCCCAGTCCCAGGGGCAGCTGACCCGGCCCCCACGGGGGCGCCGCCTGCCCGAACCCTCACCCACTCCGACGTCGGGCTCCACTGTCCGCTGGCTGACGCGCTGGACAGCCGCCGCTGCTCCCGCCAGGCCGGGCTGGGCTCCTGGCCCCAGGAGAGGAACGGGAGTGAGGGGAGGAGGAATGGCAACAGGGTGGGGGCAGAGGGCAGAGAAGTAGCCCCTCTCCCGGGCCATGCACTGTCCAGAACCTGGCAGGGCAGTGGGGTCTCCCCTCACCAGCCCATGTGCATGGTGGGGGGCTCCCTCCCCACTGAGGGGACAGCCCAGCACCCTTTGCCCTGGGCCCCAGGCCCTGCCCAGCCCAGCCCAGCCCGGTGACAGGTTTATGGTAAAGGCCAGCCCAACCTCAGATAAGGCTGATGGATGGGGAGTCTGAAGGCCAAGGGCTTGAGCCCATGACCGTTGCAAGAGGGAGAGGTCTACGGAAGTCCCCTCCCCAGATAGTCAGCTGGGTGCTTGCCCCTCCGCTGCAGGGGACAGATGCCAGAGCACTGTGGCTGTGGCCCACATCTCGGAGGCCGGGACAAAGGGGCTGCTCAGTCCCAGCAGTCCCCGTGGCCTACCTCCTCAGTGGGACTGCCGTCTGCGGGGCCCTGTTGGGGTGCGGGCTCCAGGGACCGCAAGGTGCCGTCCTCCGACACCTGGGACTTCTCGGTCAGCTTGTCAATGCCTGGGAGGGCCGGGTGTGGTGAGGACACTGCCCAGGGCCCCCTAGACAGCATGTCCACTGGGCCTGGCCCCCTTGAGACCCCCTCTCTCCTCCACCCACTTTACAGACCCTGTGCCCCGTCCCTCCACCCCTCAGCCCTGCACCCGCCTCCCCCAGAGCCCACACCCAGGCCTGAGGCCCAGCTCCCGCACAGAACGCCCCTCCGGGACCCCAGTGCCCCTGCCCCACCCCAGTTGCCATGCCCATCTCCACTGTTTCCCACCTCAAGCCACACCCTTTGCCAGAGCTGGGGTGACACGCCCCAGAGACCCTGCCCACCCCCAAACACGCCGGCATCCACACCCGCTGCCACCCACCCAGCACCGGACCTGGGGTGGCCACCAGGCTGGTCTTGAGGGTGCCAGGCTCGGCGGGGGCAGCGGGGCGGGAGCCCTCCATGGAGGCGCCCTCCTGGGAGCCGGTGCGGGACAAGGGCTCGGGCGCCCGCCGGCGCCGCTGCAGCGCCTTGTGGATGGCGGGCGGGTCCGTGGGCAGGTTGGCCAGCTGGTGGAAGACGTTGCGCTTCCGGATGATGGCGTAGACCAGGTTGGAGTTGCCTGCGGGGGAGGGCAGGGTGCTTGGCCTCAGGGAGGCCCTTCACCTCCCCCTCCACCTGTCAGGCTTCCCGGGACAGGGACCTTGGAGGGCAGGAGGTGTCACCCCCAGAGGGGGCAGGGGTCTGTTTAAAGCCTCCCTCCGTGCCTCTGTCCGCGGCTGCAAGAGCCTCAGGGCACGGGGCATCCTGCCTGGTTCTCTATCGTGCCCACTGCACCCCGCACAGGGCATGGCACATAGCAGGTGCTCAATTAATGCACTTTGGACAAACTGGGGGCGGGGCAGAGAGCTACTACCCTTAGACAGGAAGGTATCCTCGCCCACTGCCCACCCTGGTTCCTACCCCCCCACCCCGAGGGCTCGGCTGGGTGCGTCACCATCAAACTGGTACTGGATGATGTTGTTGAAGACCTCCAGGAGAAAGAAGACCAGGTGGTGGTTCTGGGAGGCCGAGAAGAGGAACCAGGTGGTGGAGAAGGCCTCCAGCAGGTGCAGCAGCTTATTGGCGGCCACCATGGACAGGCTCTTGAGGTAGGGGGACACTGAAGGAGAGGGCTGGGCTTACTCCCGGGGCCCCACCAGCCCACGAGCGCTTCCTGGGCCCTGGACCCGAGCGGGACAAGGTGCTCCGGCTCCCGAGCCCTCCCCGCCCCCTGCCTGTGAAATCCCTGAGAAGCCAGTAAAGGCATGTCCCCGGAGGCCAAGGTC